ATATCCTATATACATTCATATTCCTTGTTTCACTCATCTATCTATCTATCTATCTATCTATGTCTCCACCTATCTCTTGTCGGACCTTGGCTGATTTTTCAGTTCCTTAACCCCACACACACATTCGGTAGGGCTCCTTGGACGGGGGATGAGCCGGTCGCAAGGTCGCAACATAAACACAGAATAAACGTACACAGACATCCATGCCTCGAGTGTGATTCGAACTCGCGACCCCAGTGTTCGAGCGGGTGAAGGCGATTCATGCCTTAGACTGATAATAGTGCACATCACAGAATTAAATTGGAGAGATTGTCAGAGAGTCTTAACATAGGTTTCGAAGTACTAGATGGATGATTAACAAGAATCGTTACCAAGCATACTTCTATCACAGAAGAACAGATGTTTTCACAACCAAAAATGTATCCACTTCTGCTGTTATTCAACATCGCTTCAGATCTGAAATAACACAGCTAAACGTTTCGAACAAACGACACAGCTGAATCTATGTGCATACAGTAAAATGAACTTTTTCTCAATAAATGTTGCATAGTTCGAGTTCCCATAGCAGAAATTAAACTGGGAATTTGATTAATCCCACAACAGCTCCGCGAAATCTCAGCAAATAGAAATGCGCCAGTGCTACATGCTACGTAAATAAGAAAATTCTTCTTCCCTACACTGTAAATATATCCGATTTCGTAGTGTCTGTTGGAAGTACACGAAAGTAAAGTATTCCTTGTTTAACCAGAGGACCAATATGAAGTTCAAACACCAATAGACTATCCACGCTTGTCAAACAGGTCTATAAAGGTCTATGTCCACACGGACGGGGAGAACTTTTCTTGTTATGTGCCATGCAGTCGTGGCAATGTCCGCTCGTAGCTCACCCTGAAAATATATCGAAGTTGCGATAAAAATGCCGTCTGCTCAAGGAAGACAATGACTGCGTACCACGAAAAAGAAAAATTAATTTATTAATCTGTAGTTTTGTAGAATCTGGTCTAGAAAACCGAAATTAAGGGCTGTGGGGATCCGTTGCGCTGACCACGCGACACCCTCTATCAGCTGCAGCTGGCACTAACTTCGTCGACAAGCGGCAGTCGCTCGGTTGGTATAGTTGGCTTGCGAACTAAAGCCACGGACTTTAGTTTTTAGTTTAGTAGTTTTGTAGAAAAGACTTCATATGCCGACCTTATCTGAGGTCTAGTGGTCAGAGTTTCTGCCTACAGATCCAGAGGTCCGGGTTCGATTCCCGACGCTACCAGATTTTCTGAGAAGCACTGGGTCTGGAACGGGGTTCACTCAGCCTCGTGAGGATAATTGAGGAACTATTTCAAGGTAATAGCGGCTCCGGTTTAGAAAACCGAGATTAACGGCCGTGGGGACCCGTTTCGCTGACCACGCGACACCCTCTATCAGCTAAAGTTGGCATTAACTTCGCCGACAAGCGGCAATCGCTCGGTCGGTATAGATCGTTTGCGGACTACAGGCCACAGAGTTTGTTGTTCTTTGTTCATATATCCCAAATCGAATGTCAGATGTCGAAACATCTCACAGTTAGCCTTCTGCGTCATTCCCGTAAAACCATTCGTAAGATCTTACCGGACTGGCATAATTTGACGGTTGCGAAGGAGTGAGCTATTTTTACGGCCGTGAAATGTCATTGGATGGAAATTGAAACAGTTTTCTTATTGGATAACAGATGAAGCTCCTTGTGGGCTATTTTACAAGGCTGTCAGTGCCTGAACTGTGCACTACCAAGAGGTAGGATAACTAAATGATGAACTGGAAAGGATTTAGAATTCTTTCGTGTCCTAATAGAGGTATTATACTGACAATTGTGTAGAGCGACTGAAGAAAACAACAACCTATCTCAATCAGGATAGGCGCTGGCCCTGCCTGAACCCCAAAAGGGAGTCTCCCAAATAAAAGCCTAAAAAGTTACAGCTGGACGAACCTGTTCAGTAACAGATGTACTAAACTATACATCAGTTTTGTGATAAGATTTTAGTCGTGTATTTTGAGCTTCTTTAATAATTATATAAAGATAGTCCAAGTAGACAAAATCAAGCATTAAGTCTCCTTAAAAAAGTCTCCTTACATTACTTACTTACTTACAAATGGAGCTGAGCCCTTCTTGAGGAGCCGCCAATTCTGCAGCTACTCAAGAATTTCCCAGCATTTTATGGAACCTGAAGGTTCATCACGGTGTTCACAAGAGCCTTCCACTGCTCCCTATCCTGCCAGATCAATCCAATCCATACCATCCCATCCTATCTCTCTAAGATCCATACTACGTAATATTGTCCACCCACCTACGACTTGGTCTTCCAAGTGGTCTCCTTCCTTCTGGCCTTCCCACCAATATCCTACATGCATTCCTCTTCTCCACATTCGTGCTACATGCCCTACCCACCTCATCCTCCTTGACTTGAGCATTCTAATTATACTTGGAGAAGAATACAAGTTATGAAGCTCCTCATTATGTAGTTTTCTCCAATCTCCTGTCACTACATCTCTCTTCGGTCCAAATATTCTTCTCAACACCCTGTTCTCAAAACACCCTCAGTCTATGTTNCACCCTCAGTCTATGTTCCTCCCATGATGTCAGGGACCAAGTTTGACACCCATACAGTCTCCTACTTTACAGAAACTAGTACAGGAGTAAGAGTAAAGCATAGCAATGTTATAACGTAGCCTGCACCAAATGACTCAATTAACAGAGCATTGCTTCTGCGAATGTACGAGGAAAATTCTTAAGGAGTCCTCAAAAATTGAACTACGTCAACAAACATAAATTCAAATTAACAGTAGGAGATTGTGCAGCTATGCTTCAGCGGCGGATAATTAAATGCCTAGCATTTGTATTGGAAATGATTTGAACTCTTCATTTATTGACATAAACTGTTGGGAACAAATTCTACAGGGCTGTCAAAACCAGCAAAATGACATGCTCCTTTATAATAACGAGAAATCTCGCATAATTATTGACGTGAGTGGATAACAGGCAACGGAAACGACGCTGAAGTCTCGTCAAGGAAAATTTTCTTAAAATATTACTTTGATTCACTATATTTCTAACCAGTAATTAAAGGGAACAGACAATGGGTCACCTGGTCAACAATTTCCTTGCCTTCTCAGAAATCCGAGCTTCATTACTGTGATCACTGACCAGAAAAGCCCGCTACTGGACCCTATCACATGCTATTTCGTTAAGATGTACCTTAATATATCCCACTGTCCAAGCCTAGATCTCCCTAGTTATCTCTTTTCTTCTAGAATGCTGACCACAATTTTGCAGGAATTTTTCATCTCGCATGCATGCTAAAGCCACATTCATCTCTTCCTCCTCCTTCCGCCCATGGGAACAATATTTGGGGAAGGGTACAAATTATAAAGCGCCTCCTTAGGCAATTCTCTACACCCTCCTGATAAGTAGATTCTAAAGGGTTCTGACGATGGTGGATGACACACAGGACTACCGGGGTTTTGGACTTTTTCCATCGTCAGGAATTTTAGGTAATAGAGGACATGACGTTTCGGAAACTGGATCTCTTTCCGTCTGCAGGTGAGAAAGGAAGATACCTACTCCGTTGGGTGGATCTATTTCCGTCTTCGGGTGAGAATGGCAGACGGAAACAGATCCAGTTTCCGAAACGTCGTATCCTCTGTTACCTAAAATTCCGGACGATGGAAAAAATCCAAAACCCCAGTAATGCTGTGGACCCTCCTGATACTTCTATCTCTCTTAGGTCAAAATATGCTCCGCAGCATCCCTGTATCATACACCTCAATCCCTGTTTTTTTCAACATTAAGAAACTAAGATTCAAACTCACAATAAGCGACAGGGGATTTTTATGTTATATTTTATCTTCAGGTGTTTTAGAGGGCAGACGGGAATAAATCAAAAGCTACAAACTGAATTTCTTTGTTAACGTGATTTGGATTTTATACTGTCATTCCTGAGTTCTTCATAATGTGGCGTGCCGCCAAAAAAGACAAAACACACTTCCATTGATAGGCAACGGCTGCGATAAGAATGTATACTTCCATGGAAAAGCAATACAAGCAGGCCGTTGCCTAGGAATGCCTTAAGCAACATACGCGTTTTCCCGGAGATGAAGGGACAACAAAAGGCTCGTTGCAAAAGAGCGACCTACACAAAGCCTCCTACATGGTGCGCGCTATTCAGTCCGAGACCAGGTTATAAGAGTCCAGCTTCGACGAGACCAATCAGTTTCTAGTGTAGCTCCAACTAGAGCAGAAGCAAGCTCGCATCCGACAAAGATCAGCGGTGCAAGAAGTAACTATAACGGTGTTGTAAGAAACGTCTGACGACGTTATAAATGGACGATAATTGTACTTGGAAGTGTGGAGAGAGTGGTCATTAAACATATTCGCTAAATCTGAGACCTGCGTGAATTTATCTGTTGCGTTGCCTACGAAACACGCGACAAATGGAATCAGAAGTGGGATAGATAGGTCGACAGCAAACACGACGCGACAAACAAACAAACAAACAAACTTGATAAACAACAATTTAAATGGTCATCATCTGCCGTTGATTGGGAAAACGGAGAACGACAAGATGTACAAATAAAAGAGATGTGGGAAAGAATAGAGGAGAAAGGAGGGAAGAAGTTAAAGGTGCTAAAGGGCTACAACAAGGAAATACTGTGGGTGGGGGAACTGTTTAATGTGATGGAGAGGGAGGAAGGAAGGGGGATCGGAATGACAGGATGCAAATTAGATGGGAAATCAATATGGGAGAAACAGGATAAAGGGAAAGAAAAAAGGAAGTGATTTTCCTCGTCATATTGATGGGTAATATACTGGCAGCAATATAACAGGTACACCTACGACTCCGTAGGTACACCTGACGCCCGGAACTTGTCGGGGCCTGGTTATTACAACTTTATTACCTGGAAATTGTGAATTTTGGGATCCAAGTTTAATGGAGCATCACAATCATATATTATTTACTTTATATATGTTTTAGGTACGCTTGAATTGAGGAGATCTTCAGGAGAGGGACGTCATGTAGAATGGAGTCCTCCACTGACGCCAATCCGCTTCACACGATGCCTCTCTGGTTAACAACTGAGCAACCAGACACAGACAAGAATGGCTACTTCAACTGGACTCAGCACGCCAACAACAGCAATGATCAGACGATAAGGATAATGTATAAATACACTGTCCCAGCACTTCTCATATTCTGCATTATCTCATTAGCAATTAACGTCCGGATTTTAATCTCCATCTACTGGATCCGTCGCCCACTGTCACCGACATTGCACATCAGCCTGAGTCTAGCTGGGGCAGACGCCTATACGTCTCTCATACTGGCCACAGGACTGGTGGTTAACAGCCTCCTGCCCGTTGGATTAGGAATCACGTTTCATAATGAATGTTTTGCCCTGTTTCTCGAGACGCAGAGACTCGGAGGGGTGATTGTTATAGTGGCACATCTCCTAGCGCTAGCATGCAACCACTATCTGGGGATACTTCGGCCGCTACATTACCTCTCTATCATGACCCATCGAAATACGACCATATGCATCCTTCTGCTCTGGGTTCTACCCATTACCTACTTTGTTGTTTATTTTTCATCTGTAGATGGAGAAGGATTTCAGTCACAGAACTGCACTACAATTGAGTGAGTATTTACTGCTGTAATATCTATGTTGTAACATGTTGAGGTGTCCAATTTAAGGAAAAAACTGTGAAAAACTAATCGCCTACTTTCGTTTGATGCGAGACGGACCGCATAAAAAAATACAGGCGAACACACAGACAGAAAGGTGATCTCATAAGCCTCTTAACAAAAATTAAGATGGAAACGCAAAGAGCAAAAAAAAAAAATAGAAGAGATATATATATAGTCACAGGAGGATATACAGGCAGCAAGGTGATCTCTTACGCCTTTAATTTGTCAAAATAAGGTAGAAAAAAGGTAAAGCTGTCCCTGTAACAGGCCGTGGAGACTCATAGGGTTGTGAGACGTCGAGGCTCTCACATCTTCTTGATAATCGGCTCACAGATGGCGGTAAGGTTGTCAGCCTTACGCGCCGGCCGCCCTTTACCCCCCAGGAAGATTCCTGATACTCATTTGTGTTAGAGGCTGAGTCTAGCTCAGGGCCATAGTGTGGCTGGAAGGATTAGGTCAACTGAAAAAATCCACCTCACCGTGACTCGAAACCCTTGACCTTCCGGCTTGCAGCATAGTGCCTCAAGCAACTACGCTAACGCGTGAGAATAGATTCTTATTTATCTGCAGTTTGTTTAACGCCGCTGTCAGTAACCCGAACTATAGAGCGTCGAATAACTGGATGATGGCGAATAATGAAGCAGAAAGGAAGTTCAAAGCAGCAGTAGTGGTATAATTTTAATGTTTTATACTGATATTATTTTGGAGTGACCGAGGAAAGCCATACAAAAAAAAACTCATTTCCCATAGCCTATGAGTCAGACGAGATTCAAACCTGTCCCTATTGAATACAAGTTCAAAGCTTTACATCATTAGTCAACTTCCTCGTCGTCGGTCCGTCGGGTAAATTTCTACAGGTCCTCGCCAGCATAGTCAGTCTCGATTTCGGATCCCAATTTTGTTCTTTCCAAGACTTTTACGTATTTTGAAACTGAGGGTGGGGGGGGTGATTCGAGGGGGGCACTCAACTAACTGGCCCTTTCGTCTAGACATACCCACGCACGCGCCCTTCAGCGTGGAAAATAAGAAATGAGGAAGTACAGAGGGGGGCGGACGGTAAATCGGACCTGGGTGAACCAATAGGAATAAGGATAAATGTTTACTGCATGCTTACGAGTAAGTGTAAAACGGAAAGGTAAAGCTGTCCCTGTAGTTAATTAATGCCACGAAGACGTATGGGGAACCGAGGTATAGCCCCACCATTCTTGACCTCGGCACTAGATGGAGCCGTCAGCTTCACACTCCCCGCAGCTTTACACCCGGGGAAAGAGCCTTATGCACAAACTGAATAGGAGGATGGATGGGTCCCAGAACCCATCTTTACGCTGAAGAGAGAAATATTTTGCCCCCTGCTGGGAATCGAACCCCAGTCGTCTTTATTATGGGCCCTGTATGCTTAAGTGTATTGAGAGATGTGATTACGGTAAGGCAGTGTCTGACTTTGTTCTCAGCTTCATGCTGCACCTCAAGTTCCGTGCAGTGTTCTCTGTCCTGTTCTTCGCACCCCTGCTGCTGATGCTGATCATCTATATGCACATCTTCTCGATCGTCCGGCGTCACCAAGTGAACAGACTGAGGTTCAGCCAGATCAACCACGGTTCCAGACATCACAGCTCCAACGGTCACGGATCCTCTGGTTCTAACAGTCAGCAGATGACGAGAAGTGTAAAAGCCATTCACACGACGCTCTTCATCCTCGGATCATACATCATCGGGTGGATGCCAGCAGTTCTATCCTACCTGCTCTTCTGTGAAGACTGCCTGTTCCACTTCAACACTTTTAACAAGTCTGTCATGTTCTTCATCTACACCATAGTCAATCTTCTAGTCATCTTCAAGACCTTACTCAACCCCATCATCTACGCAGCACGAATGCACGAAATCAAGGTCAGATTTCAAACCAGACGTCATTAAATATATATAAGGTAAAGTTTTCCTGGTGATTAACTAATTAAGCACTACGCCATGAAGGCGTATGTAGGAGTGAATGTATGGATCCACATTTTCTTGACCTCGGCACTAGCTGCAAGTGGGTGGTCAGCTTCACGCCCCTGCTGCTTTACCCTCTGGGAAAGAGCCCCTGGTAACCATTGGATAGGAGGTTGGGTGAACCCCAGAGTCGGTCTGGACGACATGGAGAAGTGAAAATTCTTGCCCCTACCTGGACTCTAACTCCGACCTCTTGGTTGTCCAGCCCGTAGCTAGTCGCTATACCGACTACGCTGTGACGTTTCCAGACAATTTTGGGAACACTTCCTTTGAAATACCAGACACCGATAGTGTAAATAAAGTATACATTCGATGTAATTAATTTTCCATAGACAGGGATACGAGACATTTCAGTTGCCCAAGAAAACGAATTCAGAAACACAAATTAACTATTATTTCCATTACAATTTGTAGGGTTTAGTAGGAAATACACAATTAAACAAATGGTTCAGGTGTATGTTAGGCCATAAAACGAATGGGAGGTTCCCGTGGGTTTAATTAAAAACCTGTTCTTACGACTTAAAGAGTTACTAGATAAATAAACCACCAAAACATCAGACAGAAGAGTGAAGAGCGCAACCCGCAGCTGCAACTTGCACTGAGTGTACAGAGCCTCCCGCTGTCATACAATGTCAGCGGAACACTTTCAGTAACGATTTCATTATATTCCTTCAACGTGACAGAAATACGTGATGTATACGGCTTCTTGTTCCCTAGAAATATTTCAAATTTAATTATTTTCGCCATGAGTGAAATATCGAAAAGAAACTCGTTCTCTGAAATTGGTAACTGCAGATATTCATTAAAGTTCTGCAGGTTAACGGAATAGAGTGTACCCCTACTGCGGTCCGAGTTCACAGCTACTTCTGACATCTGGTAAGAATGTTTAGGATCTCCTGTTCAACGCTCGCCTAAGCGAGGAAGCCATTGTTCTAAGGCTATTTTCTTGCAAATATCAATATGACAATTGAGGTTACGGGACATGGCGAATTGATGCATACCATTTTATGAATAACGGAAACTTTCTACCAGCGAAACCGCCAAATCTTCTTAAAGTACTTTTCTGGGAAAATGAAACTGCCTTGAGAATATATATTCCCATTGACCAACACTCTTAATATTAACCGTTGTTGCGCTGCATACAAATCGTCTTATGCACTAGACAGTCGCCATGCAGCAAACACAAGTGGATACAAACTCCTTTGCACTGTGAAAGAACCGATTTCGGTCACCTAGCAACAAGAACGGCGACAGAAGAACTTACGGATAAATGAATAACAATCCAGGCCAGATCAATAACTGCTGCTGGCCCTCGCCAGCACAGTCTTTCTTGGTTTCGTGCTCCGTCAGGAGCTATGACATTTTTGTTCCTTCCAGATTTTCGTGTGTTTTGAAATGAGGCCTCCTCTTCGACGTCAAGAGGGGTCCCACTATTAGTGGTCTCTCCCAGCCTATTGGAGAATTACTGTTGGTCCTCACCTTGCGATATTATACTCACAAATTGCAATATAATACAGGGTGATTCATATAGAACCGGCCCTACGAAATGAGGTGTAATATAAAATATACCATACAGATATTAAAGTAATTTACACATATCTTATCTTGGATTGTATGCCGTGATCAGAGCAGGTGTTGAAAGTGTCCGCCGTTTTCAAGTAGGCACTAGAAACACTCGCTGTTCAACAGTGAACTCCATGACTGTGGCCTGCCCACTGATGACACGTTTCGGCATTGTCCTTGACCTTGCAGCATAAGAGCTGCCACTTGCCGGATCATGCGCACACATGACAATTTATAGGTTAGTGGATTGGTAGCGAGAGCGTCGGAGTTCTTCGGATGGGACTTAAAAGATTGTCTGTTTGATAGGTGTACTCTCTTACTGGTACATAACTTGTGAGAGATTGTCTGTTTGAGTAGGAGTTTGAGAGTTCCCACGTGACCATAATCTTGAGCGCTCGTCTGTGGCCACCTAGTGACTGTTCTCTTACCGGTGCATCGGTGGCGGTGGCCGTCCCGTCTGCAACGGTCAAAATGGCGGAGGCGACATCGTGCGAAGCACGATGGAACGCAATAGTGGCTTCATTCGAGAGAAACCACGTGAATTTAAAACTCAGTAATCCTGACTGCCAGGAAGACATAGAACTACTGGGGAAAGGACTAAAAACGATCGGACAGCTTATCCATAATTCGCCCTCAAAAAACGGAAACAGTGTATTATGGAACAAGCTGATATCAAAATCCGAGGCAGAGAGGACAGTGCTGTGTAAGCACCTCGAGGGCAAGACGCTGTTTACAGCCATGCTGCGCCTCTATGCTGCCATCCACAGGGAGATGCGAGAGTCTCTCCTGCTGGAAGGGAAAGACGATTCAGCCGAGGAGTTTCGCGAACAAAGGAGACGAAAGCGAAACTCCTCAGGAGAACAATCGAAGAAACCAAAACAATCGCCTAGCCCACGGGATCCTAGA